TAGGTGAAGGCCCGGCTGTCGTGGCAATATGATAGTTTTCGTAATGTATAACATTTGCCCATGGGAGAATAAACGGTTTCGAGGGGTAGGCGATGTTAATGGTTACGACAAAATGCAGCTCCGGCGCAAGATCGAATATTCGGAGATCAGAATAGTGGTCCATAGTGTCATTCATGGACGCGATGATGAGCGTCCTCAACTGTTGGAAAGTGAGTCACAGAGGATAAAGTGATGCGATTATGCTTGAATGAAGGTAGAGATGAAGATGATGGATGCGACTGACGAACGGAAATAGAGAACCAAGCAAGGTTAAAGGTAATTTCTCGAGACGAGTCGCCATTGTCATATATTGCAACTGATAGTGGACGGGTCCGGAGCGTAAACGATGGAGGCCAATGAAACGCAGATATCGATATTGGCTTTCTGCAAAACGTTGGTCTGTGAGTGTGATGTTGACGAATGCCCAAAGGTCTGGGAAGAGAAGCACCGTCTCTCGCCAATGTCTCGATACAGAAGCGATGCACCATAGCGGATTCTCAAATGCGCTTCAAGTCGAAACCATCCCAGTGGAGGCTACGTGAGAAGACGCTCTTTCGGGGAAAATCGAGTCTCGTAGAAGATAAGCGCTAAAACTTCTACCAGCAGGCGGAGCACAGGGCTAAGCAAAGCCATCCTATATCAGACACCTTCGCGCAGGACTCAGCGTTTATGGCAAAGGACAAATGCCTGGTTTGCCAGATGGTCCGCATCCCTGAGTAACACCTTCCTCAGAACACGCAGTTCCTCGATTTCTTTGCTGATAGCGGCAATGGATTCTTCTGAGTCGAGGATCAGGGATCGCAGGGTCTCTGTTTCACCAGGAAGGGCAGGGTCGTTGGAACGCTCGAGATGGTTGAAATCAGTATGAAAACAGTACGACTAGCGCCGGCCGTCGATACAAAGATGGGAGTATAATTATTAGGGTACGCGCAGCCTGTATATCGTTGCAGAGGTCCTTCCACTGGCATATCTGAAAAAAGGTGAGTGATTGTAAGATATTTCGTTTCCTGAATGTGATACCTATTCAATCGAGTAGGGATTATTGATCCTAGGCTGGTAAGCAGCACCAGCAGGACCTATTCGCCGCTCTGAGATATCGAGGCAGGATACTTCCCTTGCGATTGACTGATGAAGGTAGGAGTCGAAGAAAGGGAAGGTCCCTCAGGTCACGCTTCGCGCGACGTGAAGTTCGCGTCATATTTTCCCACGAGGCTAACATCAACTAGCACTGCCCAGCCCTTTCGTGCCTATCACCGAAACGGTGGCCAGGGTGTATTCCGTTCTTCGTCCCCTCGTTAGACTGACTCGAGTCTAGCCCCTTCGTTGACGTTCTTTATAGTATATCCCGGAAATTTTTTTACGAGTTTGCGCCCGCGCGAGGTACCATTAAGGGCCCAAAGTATCCCTACGCCCATCCATGACTGTGGGTTACTTAATTGTTTCAGACTAGTATCGCTAATGACTCGTACGCCTAGAGTGTGTACTTTTCAACTGTTCTTTTGTCTTTTAACAATCATAACATGCTACCTGGAGAAGACTGTACTACCCCAAATGGATCAGCGACGATCCTAAAGAGCTCAGTCTTGCAGGTTTAACCGGTCACACAATAAGTCGGAAGTGTACTCTCACGAATGAGAATCTCAACAAGTAAATTGTAAACGTAAGCTGTTACTCTCGCTATAACAAAAGACGGTCTTTGAATTTCAATTCATCTCATGAATCAGACTTGCGCTCATCCAGGGTTTCCCGCGCCGCCGCTGAGGCCAGACAAGCGCTGTCTATCCAGCTCAGTCCACCCTTCCGACTGGTACCTGCCAGCGCTCCGACGGCGTACGTGGCTGTGTGTTTCGGCGTCGGTCTATCCATGACAGCCAACCCAAAGCTCTCGCCTATCCATCAAATGGATCTACATTTCAACCCTATCACTTGATGTTTCAGGCCTTTGTGGTCCTCCGTGATGGCAATAGAAAGACCATCAAACCCGTGCGATGTGTTTACCGTGGACATATGTCGCAGGGATTTGTGTTGCCTTGCAGATTGTTGATCTCTGTCACCGAGAACCACGTAGAAAGGTTACAGGCAACAAAATCCAACCGTCTCAGCGCCATGTTTTATAGGTCGGTCCATTTTGTAATCTGGTTGTTACTTCCCGCTTCAGCGTGTCAGCGTCCAAGGAAGTACTGAGTGGCTTTAATACGTCACGTACTGGGTGCACCCATTTCCTTCTGAAAATTACCCGTTCCCATCCATCCTATCATGCTTATCCCATACTTTTGTGCGTTGACCACCCTGATTCTGTGCACAGATGCCCGTCAGCCTGCGGAGTTATTCGATGCATTCGAGGATTTTATTGCTGGGTATGCGACTTCATGTGTACTGAAAGTTTCAGCAATCTAATGTAATATCCAGGTTACTTCAGCCTTCGTCCGCAGTAGTTTCAGGAAACAGCTCAGCGCTGTCGCCAGATGTCGTTGGCCGAGTTAATATGATGATGAGTACGCGTTTATACGGTCGTCGGTCTGTTCCGTTCCCTAGTCTAATCCATTTGCAGCGTTGAACGGTATCAAGAACAATACTGGTAGGTGTTAATTCTTAATCTAATACGTCCGATTTACACGAACTGTTTTGCAGAATTTCTATATGGCGTACCTATGGAAGTCATACAAGCGAACACCACTCAGATAATCGGCTACCCCACAAACGCCTCCGTTGAGTCCTTGTCAATACAGCATTATGTTGTATCCGCCAGCGTCGTCTTCTCAATGTATCATGCGACAATGTCGCTCACGACACCGCTACAAGTCGATCTGTGGCTCAACTTCGACGATGACTTGCTGATATCGGCTTATGATCTTACAATCCGGAACCTCCCCAAGGCCTTTTCGTTTTTAGCATCTGTTCTGTCTGAGCAGATCGCTCATGAAATGCCTGTCGGTAACTCGACCGACGCGGCGAGTTCAAGAATGGCTGCAGATATCTGCATGGCCGCCACTGAGTTCTGCACTGGTGGGAACCAGCAATATGACTCGTGAGTATTTTGATAGTTTCTTGATATCCAACTCACCGCTCTTATCATAGGTACGATTCCTGCTTCGAGACCCTTTCACGAAACGTAACGATGGACAGCCTCGACCAATCATTTTGCCGGTCAGTAATCAGTTTGTCTGAGTGAAGGCTATTGTTGGAACAACGTTAGATACTTTGTCAAGGACATGGTCCCATCTCGACCCAGCATTCATTGCCCTAGCCTTGGTCCTTCCGGGGGAGATATGTGCTGTAAGTGATCCTCCGCTGCTTTCTCCGGATGAATTAAATGATTGTTTGGATTTTAGTCAACGCTAATTTTGCCGAGGAAACCACTACATATCCGTTTGCTTCCAGCTTTGTAGCAGCCAATGTTTCTAGTGGCGGGACTGAAGAGCTATCTGATGACATCATGGTCGAACTTATGAGATTTGACATGCAAGTCATATATCCCACCACCGTCGCATTTGTGCGTGATTCTTCCAACCTTACCCACACATGCCTTACCTTGTCTTCTACGGTCTCCTAGTACTCAATTTCAGCGTTCCTTTACCTGCTCCTTCTATATGTCAACGGAAAGGGAGTAGATTTCCTTCTTGACCGCTTTTCCAAAGAATACGCCGTTCTGTCGTTCGACAATAAGCGGAACGTCGTTACTTGTGGGTGCTAAAATATATGGGCGCGACATTGTGCTGATCTTCTCATCTTCGCTTAGATTGTCTCAACACCTTTTGGACGACGGTCGCGTTTATCCTGCAGATAGTAGCATCACCCATGTTGGGCGGATACTACACATGGGATCGCATAGGTGAGGCTCGTATGGCTGCCGTCATCATCTCTGGCTTGTGTGAGTGCCACAGACTTTGTCTCAATTATGATATAATTATTCGTCCGAACAGACATATATGAAATGGTGTTCCGTCCGAGTATGCGATGGACTTTGCTTGTTCATCATTTTTGTGTACGTTTCCAGCTTTCTCCCTGCCTCCGAGATCTTCTCTAAATTCTCATCTTGTACATCTAGACTTTGTTTGCAACTATATTCATTCAAGTAGCACTTCAGATAGCGCTCCATCCGGCCATAGCATCTGCCGGACTCATCTGGCTTTTCCAGGCTACAACTGAACAATCCGTGTTCATTGGTCTCATACTTTACCGTCTACGATTCCCGAAGCATGTTGCGGCGCCTGTCTTGAAGTTTTCTGCGGTACAATCGTTGTAAGTCCACACCTTTTAGAGCTACGATATTTTAGGCTAAAGAAGTTTCAAAGCATCTGTAAGATTGCATCAGCAATCTACTTGCTTGTCTGGTGGGGCATCAAGCTCGCCAAATTCCACCGCCAAATTGACGTCGCCCTCAGCGTCATGCTAGTTCTACTTATCTCCGTTCTCATGGCTACTCAAATGTATGTTTAAAGTCCAATCTGCGTGACAACCATACTGATATTTCTTACCATGATATAGACAAGGATCGTACGCCGTGTGGTGCATCGCGAAGAACATGCACGGACAGCCCTCAAAACCTGTGGTCATCCCAGGTCCTTCTTACTGGGTCAACGATTCTTTCCACCATGAAGACAGGGGTCTGGGGCGGCAGGCCTCCGAATCAACCCTTAGACCCTTAGAACTGAGTAGAGTGCTTTATCAAGTTAAGGTGGAGAAGTCGTGAAACAATGGTATGCTGGTTTACCAGTACGTTGCTCAGTATCAGTCGAGAATCGACTAAACACCGGCACATTGAATCTGCGGGTGGTTACTGGCCGCCTCCATACCTACATTTTATCTGTTGTGGTAGTAGTTAGGGTGCTTATTATGGACTCAGTTGATGAGGCATGGACCCCATTTTCTTCATTCAAGTTATGTGCATTATTGTAGACAGCCATGATGCAAAAGGTCGTTCAAGGGCTCCTGAGTTATAAATGGTCATATGCTGCCATGACCCCTTAGCTCAGTGGTAGAGCGTGTGATTCCAGCTTTGGGGAGTCCACAAGGCCGTGCGTTCGATCCGCCCAGGGGTCATCTGTTTTTGTTCCCTCTTGTAACAATCACTCCCAATTACCTAGTTTTCCGACAAAGTGTGTAATGCACTAGGGTTGCACATGAAACCCCCAGTTTTGATACACCCCGGTTTCGGACCGGTAAGTTACTGGTAAGAAACTGGTAAGAAACCACAGGTCAGTGGAGCATATTTCATTGAGGTAACTTACCAACCACATGACAATATTACCACAAATCTTTTTATGATTTCACTTTGCAGAGCAGTAATAAGTAAGAAGACGTAGCCAGAGTGTTCCGATGGGTATTGGGACGGAATTCATGAGTATTTGAGGTATGACAATGAGGCAGCATAGCGTCACGGCATCGTAGAGAAGAATTTGGAAAAATGACTCCGCGGTGGTCACGTGAATGGTCACATGACTGGTAAGAAACTGTAAATTACCGTACCGGTAAGAAACCCCCCAGGTAGGGTGGGTACAAAACGGTATCAAACCCCGCCTGGAGGTTTCGTGCGCAGCCCTATAATGCACTGGTGCAATTCCCCTCTGTGGTTTTGTCTGACTGGACAAACATTTCTCCCTGCCAAGATCTGGTTTGCAAAGGACAGAAACACCTCCAAGGACATGTTTTTAGCTTCATGAACATTTTCAGACAAGTTTCCTTTGGGTAGAAATAATTGGGAGTCAGGAGTAAATATCCCTCAGCTTCTGACAAGGAAGGTAAGTTATCATGTTGCTCACACTGCATGGATAAGCTAATTGTAGCCTGAGGGAATATAGTATAATATGTCTTGGTAGTCTGAATGTGTAGTGATAGTGAATGCAATGTTGTACACTGGATATGTGGTAGGGATACCTGCGCATATGGTGAGTTGTCTGAGACTTGGAGTTTGCAGATGGGAATTGAGTGGCCAGAGGGAAGGTGGCATGATAATTGGGCTGACTTGTTGAGGTTCTAGAGTTGGGATAGTGCTGTGAAGCCTCAAGTCTAGAGCACTCAGTGGACCAGAGAGTGGAAGTACTGAATCTGGCAACACCAAACACTGAAGGGAGTAGGTGGGTAGGTTGAAAGAGGATGAGATGAGAATACTGTGAGTGAATGCTATCGAGCAAGGAGGAGAGAGCCTAGTGATGCATCAGATCACTCAGAAGACACTGATGAACCTATTGACTCCTGTGGACAGAAAACACAACACCTAAATGGCAAGTATAATCAATCACAGAATCTGAAGGCAGGTTCTTAGCGAGTCTAGTTGGGCACCTCTGTGCAGTGACTATAGGTCCTAAGTTTGTAGCTTATTCAAGGCTACTTGGTGTTATGTCTTGAGCTACTGGCTCTGTATAAGACAAGGTTGGTTTGCAAAGCAGTTATTAAAAACTATTTGGTTCGTGAAGGTGTTATTGCAGCCTAGTATGCGGTGCAGTCTACTGAAGTGCACGTCTTGGAGTGCAAGGTCTAGAGGTGTGAGAATGCCAACAAAGGTGAACAACCGCCTTCTTGGTTTACAGAGTAAAGCTAGGAATGGCAGGGTCACAACTTAGTTAAGTGCACTCGTAGTCACTGATTTGTTGGTGTATATGTCCTTAGTGCAAACACTAAGAGTTCTGAAGCCTTTGGTATGGGGGAGTAGTATCCCGAGTGTATTCTATTGTTCTAGCTAAAACACTTGAGTTTTTATACTAATTTTCTCTAACAGTTCACATAATCTAAAGATGTCATTCTTTGTAACCGCAGTAATAGATTAGTGAGCTTCACAAAGGGTTTGTAATACTATTATCGTTGCTATAACTCCTCTTACTGAGCTTGTAACATATAATTGGGTATGCCAGTTTACAATGCATTGTGGCATCCTTAGCTTACTGATGGATACTAGTTGTGCAGTGCTAGCCTTGGTGATTCGTGAACTTCATTTCTTATTTAGCTTCATGACCATATGTCTGTATTACGAGTCCCCTAGCTGGGCACAGCATGTGTGCTTATGCACAGTCAGTGATCATATGGGCAGCATCACATGACTAATATTGCATCATGCCACCTTTGTTCAGGTGATGACATGAATTGGATGACTAGTTTGGTGTCAGTTCCATGATAGCCAGTATTGCCATGTCCTTTGTGCTGTATTAATGATTTATGGTTCACAAACCATTATTGAATATGCACTTCACAACCTAGATGACTGATTGGTAGGGATTTGACTTGTAACAGACTTGCAAGGACTGGTTAATTGAACATCCTTGCAAGTGAGAATTTCACTAAATTGTTTTGTGTGCCTGCAATTTCTGAGCACACAGAGCCACGAGGCTCATCAATGCATTCAATTCATTGGGGATTGGGATATTGGTATTTGTATATGTATTGTATGGATGGCTGAGGCCTCTTACTTGCTTGCTTAGCTTATCCTCTGATAAGCCCTCCACTTGTGCCTCGCTGCAGGCTTATCTTGGAAGAATTCAATACTCTTGGTCTAAGATCATGCAAGAGTGCTTCTACCCACATTTGATCTCTATGACCTCAAAACCAAAAATTTTATCCTTTCATGTCAGGGCTCGTTGAGGTGCCTTCCTATCTCATCTGCTCGATCTTCACAATATTGTTGCAATATTATTAGTCAACACATGCATTTTCTTGTGTAGGAGGTATGTTGAAATTTGAGTGCATTGATGAGCCTCATGGCTCTGTGCACTCAGAAATCGCGGGCACACAAAACAATTTAACAAAATTCTCACTTGCAAGGATGTTCAATTAACCAATCCTTGCAAGTCCATTACAAGTCAAATCCCCACCAAATAGTCATTTAGGTCATGAAGCACATATTCAATAATGGTTTGTGAACCATAAATCATAAATACGGCACAAAGGACGTGGCAATACTGGTTACCACAGGACCGACACCAAACTAGTCATCCAATTCATGTCATCACCTAAACAAAGGCAGCATGATGCAATAGTGGTCATGTGATGCCACCCATGCAATCACCGACTGCGCATAAGTGCGCAGGCTGTGTCTGGCTATGGGACTCGTAACACAGATATACGATCATGATGCTAAATAAGAAATGAAGTTCATGAATCACCCAGGCTAGCACTGTGCAACTAGTATCTGTCAGTCAGCTAAGGATGCCGCAATACATTGTAAACTGGCATACACAATTATATGTTATAAAGCTCAGTAAGAGACATTATAGCAATGATAATAGTGTTACAAACCCTTCACGAAGCTCACTAATCTATTACTGCAGTTACAAAGAATGACACCTTTAGATTACACGAACCGTTAGAGAAAATTAGTATAAAAACTCAAGTGTATTAGCCAGAAATACAGAATATGCTCGGGATACTACTCCCCCATACCAAAGACTACAGAACCCTTAGTGTTTGCACTAAGGACATATACGCCAACAAATCAGTGACTACGAATGCACTTAACTAAGTCGTGACTCCGCCGTCCCTTGCTTTACTCTATAAACCAAGAAGGTGGTTGTTCACCTTCATTGGCATCCTCACACCTCTAGACATTGCACTCAAAGACGAGCACAACAGTAGACCGCACCACATACTAGGCTGCAATAACACCTTTGCGAACTAGATAGTTTTTAATAACCGCTTTGCAAACTGACCTTGTCTTATACAGAGCCAGTAGCTCAAGACATAACACCAAGTAGCCTTGAATAAGCTACAAACTTAGGACCTATAGTCACTGCACAGAGGTGCCCAACTAGACTCACTAAGAACCTGCCTTCAGATTCTGTGATTAATTATACTTGCCATTTAGGTGTTGTGTTTTCTGCCCACAGGAGTCTATAGGTTCTTCAGTGTTGAAGTCCAGAATTTATTCGCCTTTCCTTTTTTGTAGTCACACCACTACTCAGATCAGAACTCACCTGTGAAAAACAAGTGTGAGAGCTGGGACACATTGAGGACCTTGCCAGACAAATATTAAGTTCTACCAGAACTCATATCCAGTGTCTGCCCACCATAAATGAGACCAAAAGGAACTAGGAATCAAAAATAAACTCTGTGAGTCAATCTTTGTTTACCCCATACAGTCAACTCAGATTTGATGGAAACTGGACAGCATTCTGCCTCGTGGCGGGGGCGAATCCTGGCCAGATCCTCGCGGCAGAGGGAACTGGGGAACTTTGACATCCACCTCTGTGATCAACCTGAGGAACTTGGCTCTGTTATGATTTATTCACATTTTCTCTGATTTTCCTCATATAAGCGCCCAAGTGTTTATCTTCGTTATCTAATCACCACTATCTGATCCCTGCTGTCATATAACTGCACCATCTCCACGCCCATAAACCATCAACAACCGCTCACCCACTACAGCTTGCTTCCATCAGCTTCCATCATGACATTACCACTCAACTTACTCGTCATACACTCATTGTTCACTCGTTGTCGCTTACCAATAGACCTATTATTAGCATATGGACTTTAGTATATAAGTAGCATGACTTTCGCTGTAATACCTCAGCTTCGAGCTATAGTTTATCAATACCAATCTTACTCTCTCAATGACTAGCACCTAGTGCTGTGTCTCAATGAGTCCATTGCTACAGCTCTACTTGGGTCGTCGGTGTTTACTGGTATACAACTCTAAGTTTGCACTTGTTTGGATCATGTGAGATTTGGGTCTAACAGTTAGCTCAAAGCTTCCCTATGGTTCCTCAGTGCTAGCCACAACAAACCAAATCCATGTCCCCAGATCTCAACCAGAAACAATCCATCGCCCTCGACGTAGCCATCCCAGCTGCTTGTCTCATCATCCTTTTCACCGCGCTTGTGGTCCACGCAAACCGAGACCATATCAATGAGTTCCTCCATGAATGAGGAATCCTCGTCCCCCTCCAACCAAGGCCCACCAGGAGGCCCCCCCTCCACTATCAACCAGCAACCCCCTGCCACCACAAGGACCCCACCGGGGGCCTACCCTGAGGCCGAGCCCCATCGCTCGCAGACCCAGCATGCAAGGAGGTGAAGCACCCCGCACCCCCGTGGTGACGCTTCCTCTGACG